AGGACCCCCTTCCCTACACCATGCTCCCCCCACCCAATCCCCCTGACATGGGGTGGGGTTTCCCTCTGCACACCCCCCCACCCCGGGCTCCACCCCAATCACATGCCCTCCTGGCAACTCTACCCGGGAGTTGGATTTTAAAGCTCCTGGAGCGCTCTCACCGCCACCCCCCCCTGTGTCCCACCCACTATTTGGAAATCTGGAGATTACTCTTACCTGAATCACTCAGGGGCCCAGCCCCACCCAGCCCCACCTCTGGAGGCAGCTTCACAGACAGACAGGAAAGCTCTGGAATCAGCCCAACATCTCTTCAAATTCCCCTCCCCATTTCTGACCAGTTTTCAGTGTGACCTTAGGTAGCCAACTGCCCTTCTTGGGCCTCAGTTTCCCCATCTGTAAAATGGAGTTCATAATTCCATTCTCGTAAGAGTTACTGTGAGGACAAAATAAGATTACGTGCATGATTCTGAGCAATATTATAGGCATGACCAACCTCCAGTAGGAACTCAATGTTAATTCTTTATCTGCTCTCCCTAAAGCTCCCTATCTAAGCAGGAGGGTTTCATGCAAAGTTCACTTCCTCCTCTTTACCTCCTCAGTGCCAGGCTGAGGTTGGGCATTGATGGTAATAATAATGATTGTTAATATTTCGAGTACCTACTGCGGGCCAGGCAGCGTGCTGTGTATTTCACATGCACTATCACATGTAATTTTCTCAACAGCCCTACACAGTATTATCACCTCCATTTTACAGAGAAAGAAACTGAGGCCCAGAGAGCTGACATGACTTATCCAAGGTTGCACAACTAGTAAGGGATAGGTTTCAAGGCCCAGTCCCTTTATTCTGAAATACCAGGTACCACATAACCTAAGCCCCAGCAGAGCTAGCCAGTGTTTGGAGTTAGTTAAGAAGAAATGGGACTTCCCTGGTGGCGCAGTGGTTAAGAATCCGCCTGCTAATGCAGGGGACACGGGTTTGAGCCCTGGTCTGGGAAGATCGCACATGTCGTGGAGCAACTAAGCCCATGCACCACAACTACTGGGCCTGCACTCTAGAGCCCGCGAGCCACAACTACCAAGCCCACACGCCTAGAGCCGGTGCTCAGCCACAAGAGAAGCCACCGCAATGAGAAGCCTGTGCACCCCAAAGAAGAGTAGCCCCCACTTGCCGCAACTAGAGAAAGCCCGCGCGCAGCAATGAAGACCCAATGCAGCCAAAATAAATTTTTTTTTTTTTTTTTGAGAAAGGAGGAAACAGAAATGCACTTTTGGGGGTGGCGGTGTGGGGTGTTGGATGGGACAGAGATGGGGGAGGCTAGGGGGCCCAATTTAAGCAGCATAATTCAGCTGAGAAGCTAAGCACCTAGAATCACGAAATGTTTTCACCTTACTCACATTGAAATCCTCACAACAGCTCCAAAAGGAAAGTATTAAGCATTATCTCCATTATGCAAAAGAGGAAACTGAGACACAAAGATTTCCCTAGACTGTGCGGTGAAGAGCACATGCTAAGGGGTTTTGGTGCAACGTCTCCTTTATAACTTATAACATCTTCATGAGATAGATTCTCTTCTTGTCCCCGTTTTTGTAAACAGGAAAACTGACCGCTAAAGGCCACGGGCTAGTAGATGGCAGAGCTGGAATCAGAGCTCTGGTCTGTTTGATGTCAAGTCTACAGCGTAACTCCCTGCTGCACTCCATCCCTGGCTCTCTTGGATCCCAAGGCATCTGAGTAATCTTTGAGGATCAGACATCAGCTCCTGGGATCTGGGGGCCCAGCCGCCTGTGACTGAAGAGCTGGGGGAGCTGGGAAAGAACAACTGTCTTGTGAAGGGACAATAAATGCTCCGGGGGTTGCGAGAAAATATCAGTCCCTGCGTCCCCCTCCTCCTCCACCACAGTTGAAGGGGAGCTGTTTCCATGGTCCTCCTTTGGTAGTGGCATACTCTCCTAACTCTGCTGAGAACCATCAATAGCTCCCACTGTCCCCAGCCCTTAGCCTGGCCTTCAAGTCTCATCTTTCCCTGAGCACCAGGACGTCATAGAAAGAGCCCTGCAAT